GAGATTGGGACAAGCACATACAACCGTTTTTGTTGTCATATCGAAGCGCTGTTCACGAAAGTACAGCAGTGACACCAGCTTTCGCAAACTTTGGAAGAGAATTACGGCTGCCTGCAGACCTGATCACCAGGATACCACCTGATGCCCCACGCAGTATAACCGATTATGCAAATGACTTGCGGAACAAAATGAATGACAGCACTCACCCAAATCAAAAAAAAAACAAAAAAAACAGAGGAGGCCCCCACCAAAAAAAACCCAACCCCCCGCCGGGGGGGAAGCCCGGAGGAGGGCAATGTGCAAAAAAAAGAAAAAAAAACTTTCAAAAAAAAAAAAAAAAAAAAAAAAATTTAATTGGTGTTCGGTTATAAAAGTGTAAATTTTGGTAATTCAATCGGCAGTTTTTATTGTCACGAACCTCAAGCTCGTAACAATATTAAGCAAAAATTATTTAGTAAGGGTTATAATACTTCTAAATAGTACATTGTTGATAATAACACCTGGGAATGGGATGAACTCTAGCTACCATGCTGTTTCTAAAATTTTCATACTAATAAAGTCATTATCAGTTGCCTTTTTTTTGCTGGAACAGTCCGGGGCTCGACGGGCTGCATCATTACTGGCTGAAGGGGTTCATAGTGTGTCACGCTGTGCTCGCCCGATAGTTTCAAGAGGCTCTCAACCAGAAGTAGCTCCCTAGCCTCTTCACTACTGGGATCACTCATTTGGTTCCTAAAGACCAGGTTACCACAGACCCGAGCAAATACCGCCCCATTACGTGTCTACCCACCATATATAAGACACTGACATCCATTTTGAGCGCGAGAATCACTCGTCACCTGGAGCTAAATCAGGTGATGTCACGCGCTCAAAATGGATATCGGGGCGGTGGTCGTGGAACCAAGGAATCGCTCCTCATTGACGCGGCAAAGTGGTGAAACGCAACCGTCGGAACTTCTCCGCCGCCTGGATAGACTACAGAAAGGCATTCGACTCGGTGCCCCATACATGGCTAAAGAGAGTCCTCGAGCTGTACAAGATAGACTGTACAGTGAGAGACTTCCTCGAGCAGTGTATGGGGCAGTGGAGTACGATCCTTTGTCATCTGGGTGAGCGGATGATGGCTGCGGAGAACCACATAAGGATAAGAAGGGGTATCTTCCAGGGCGATTGTCTGAGTCCAATCTGGTTCTGCCTCTCCCTGAACCCTCTCAGTACCTTACTGGAGGGATCCGGGAGAGGATTTCAGCTACGGAAAGGAGGGACAAAAGTGACCCACCTTTTCTATATGGATGACCTCAAGTTATTCGCCTCCAGTCGCTCCCATCTTATGGAATTGCTAAAAATCACTTGTGAATTTAGCAATTCCATTAGAATGGAGCTGGGGACGGATAAGTGTGCGGTCCTCCATGTTGAAAGGGGAAGGGTTGCTAACTCTGAGGGCATAGATTTATCTATGCCCGTCAACTTAAGGACCCTTTCCGAGGCTGAAACATACCGATACCTGGGTATGTCACAGAACATCGGTATCGATGAGGCTGGTATGAAACAGTCAGTTTGCGACGTGTTTTATGCACGCTTGACCAAAGTGCTTAATAGCCTTTTGTCCGGTGTGAATAAGACACACGCATATAACGGTTGGGTCATACCTGTCCTTATGTATACCTTTGGCATACTCAGGTGGAGTCAGACTGAACTTAACGCCCTGGATAGAAAAGTCCGCACTACCATGACGTCCCATAGAATGCATCATCCGAGATCGTCGGTAATGAGGTTGTACTTGCCGCGAAAAAATGTGGGCGTGGCTTTCTGAGCGCGTTCACCATGCATAATCGTGAAGTGTGCAGCCTCCGTCATTACTTCCTGGCGAGATCGGATGATCCGTTCTATAATGACGTCATTTCTAGTGATAAAGGACTTACCCCTCTATCCTTAGCCAACGAGCAATGGCAGGACCCAGCAGTGCTTAGCATTTCCGACCGGGAGATCGCATGGAAGGAGAAAGAGCTCCACGGGAGGTACTGCAGGCCTCTACATGAGCCCTTCGTAGATACAGTCGCCTCCCTCAACTGGCTACGTTTCGGTGACCTCTTCGGGGGAAACCGAGGGTTTTGTCTGTGCAATACAGGATCAGGTTATTAAGACCAACAACTATCGGAGATACATCCTAAAGGATGGCACCGTCGACGTCTGTCGAGCTTGTCGCCATCCCGGGGGAGTCACTTAGGCATGTCATCTCCGGTTGTTCGGCGCTTTCTAACTCTGAGTACTTGCACAGGCACAACCTAGTAGCCAGAATTCTACACCAGGAGCTCGCTCTGAAATACGGTCTCGTGGACCGGAAATTGCCGTATTACAAGTACTTGCCGGAAGCCGTGCTCGAAAATGACCGCGCCAGGCTGTACTGGGACCGGGCCATCATCACAGACAGGACTATTCCTTCGAATAAGCCTGATATTGTGCTGATGAACCGGGCACAGTCAAGGATATTTTTGGTCGATATTACCATCCCGTATGACGAGAACCTCGTGAAAGCCGAAACAGATAAGCAATCAAAGTATCTGGACCTGGCTCACGAGGTGACCGACATGTGGGGTGGTATGCCGACCGAAATTATTCCTGTAGTCGTCTCTGCGAATGGGCTAATCCCAGTTAGCCTCTCTGATCATCTGTGGCAACTGGGACTCCGTGACGGACCACTCCGGGCTCAAATGCAGAAGACGGTGCTCCTTGATACTGCCCGCATCGTCCGCCGGTTTCTTTCCCTTTCCCCCTAACCCTTGGCCGTTTGGTCTCCCCTGCCGAGGGCTTCCATCTGGTTGGGCTTTTATTTATTTATGTATTTTTGTATTTATTTTATTTTATTAATATTTATGTATATTTATCTTTTCATTTTCATTTATAATTATATATTTATACATCCCAACCAGATGAGAAAACTATATAGATACCCCACATAATATTAATCGCAATGCTTGGTTCGGAAGAAATAGGTAGATAGTGTAAACAACAAATAAACCTGAAATACGATTCCTAACAGAAATATGATCTATTCTACTTACGTACTTAAAAATCTTCTTAGTATACAAAGTTTTAATTTCAGTATTTTGTGTTATTATAACTTAAAATATTTTAATTACAAAATACAAGTATAGGTATGTATGTAAGTAAATACTTGGATAGTGAAGTAAATTTTAACTATTTTTTGTAATAAAGTACTTAGGTATTTCTTCTGTAGACCAAATTATTACTTAATTCTTTTTTGCTGTAAATACCTATCTTACCTTTCATAATTTCCTTCTAAAATTCTTCGGTAACTTAACCTCCTGACGACCAGGAAGCCTGTTTAAGGATTTTCATGAAACTTCTATGGGTTATTATTTAAAGCATAAGTATTTAGTGAAAAATAGTGAAAAAAATCCATGTCCGGAAAATCTAGCTTTTCCTTATGTTCTTTATAAAGTACAATTGTAGCTAATTTAGATGTACTTCTAGTAGGACATAAGCGTTACATCTGATTTAAACCAGCTAGACTTTCGTAACATTGCGTATGAATTTAAAAAATAAAACGTAAAAAAAATCTCGAAGTACAATTTTTAATAAATCTATCAAAAACTTAACGTTTTGTTCATTTACTCTCTTAAAAAGGAGATAAAAAAATAGTATTCTTACTCTTAATATGTTTTCAACTAACACTATATTTGAGAGATCAATGTTAACAACTTAAAGTTTATCCTTATCTTAATAATTGAATAATCAGCCTCATAATAATAGATCTTAAGTGAAAAAAACAAAGCTTCTAAAAATCAACAAGATAAAATTAAACAAAATTATAAATCACTCTCCGTGTCATTATCTTCAATCAGCTTGGTACCCAAGTTAAGCTTATAATCTCGAAGTTTCCATATAAAGGCCCTGTTTGTGTTTTTTTCTAACTCTGTAGCTCGATATTGGAACCACGAATTGACAACCGACAAATCAAAGAGATGTGATATCACTCTTACAGTTCATTTGATAGTCCTGCTTCGTGAGGGGCACACAGACAGCATGAGATCAGCGAGGTCCACTCCTCCCATATTTTGATTGTATTTTTAATGACTTCCGGCCTTTTCACTCTTTCGTAGCCTTTCTTCTTTTTTGACCATCGCTCACAGTCATCTTCATTTTTATTGCTATAGAGAGAAGACATCTTCATCACGGGCTTGTTGTCAATCCACATTGTTATTGCAAGTTGGCCGTCTTCTCGCACCTTCACTTCACTTGAACCTCGTGGCAGTTTCTTGAATTCTTTTTCTGGCGTCAACTTACAATCTTTCGGGATTCTTCCTCTCTGTATAGTACCAGTTCCATGAAATCCTCTTTTGATTAATTCGTCGCACAACTTCACCGAGGTGAAGTAACGATCAAAGTATAGGGAATGCCCTGGGACTAGAGTTCGCGTAAGATGTAGGACGGCTGATTCACCCAATCCAAACCCTTGAGAGTTAAGCTCTGGAAAAGTTTTGTCTTCTTAATAAATTATATCACATACAATACCTTGTGGTGACGCAAGGACAAACACTTTGAGGCCAACTGGGTTTGGCTTGTTTGGACAATATTGTCGCATGTGGCATCGCCCAGTGAAAGGAATTATCATTTCATCGATGCACATATCTTGTTGATGGCAGCCATTCAAAATACAATCAAATAATGGTTTAACTTTCCTCTTTCTGCTCCGGAGTAACATGTATACGATATACACATTTTAATTGCGTCCTGATAGCATAAAATCTAGTTCGAGTCATGGCTAAAGCAATAATGTTCACTCTGTATTTTCCTGATCAATACATATTGATTTGGGGATATTGGAGGGCAGACATAACCATCTTTATTCCAAGTAAAACTTTTAGTTCTTTTATTGTTAGTCCCAGTGTTTTTCCTTTATGCAATATGTTGGTTCTATTTGTGCAATCAGTAATGGTAGTCAGGATGTCATCAGTAATATATTGTTCGTAGAATGATTATAACTCCCAATCAGTGGAATCTACGACCAGGTAAGCTGGTTGCATTAAATTTTTGGCTTTTGGCTCAAACGCATCTGCTGACCATTTATCTAGTGACTCACTGTCATTTTCAGAGTTTCCGCGAAGTGTGATTACACGAGGATTTGTAAGTGAACGACCTCTGCTTGGTCGTCTGCTTTGTGCTCTTCCTCGTGACCTTGGAGCCCTGGAGTCAGTAGATAACGTAGGTGAAGGTGCAGGGTAATCTGATTCAGTAGCATTATCTGAATCATCCGAGTCTGTAATGTCCGTATCGGAATCATTAGCACCAATTGCAACAACATGACAGTCGAGTTCCGGAGGTTTGAAGGTCAGATCACAATCTGAATCATCGCCCGAATAGTCGAATTCAGATTCATTTAGTGCGTCAGCGATATTTTCATCATTCATGGCTGAAATAAAAGTGAAAACTCATAAATAATTCCAAAAGTTTTGCAATGTACTTTGTACAGTACGTGGGTAGTTAGTAATGCAAAACTTTGATTTGCGACCCTTGTACTTTGCAGAGGACATAAAAATGTTTGAGGTTATAGTGTACTGAATTTTGCAAGTTTCCCATAAATGTAGATACAAATCAAACAAATAATCTTATTTTAGGTAAAATATACAAAAATAGTGCATAATATCAAACATACATTAGAGATTAACATGGATAAACTTACGTCTGTGCGAGCGCGCTCCTACTTCACTTGCTTTGGACGCCATTTTTAATCAAATGACAGATATGACGGAGTGCAATATGGACGAAAGTTACTCACAAAGAACTAACAGATGGCATTGCAACATCAAAAAAGGGTTGCCATTTCAGAAATTTTTGGTTGAATTTTTAATGTTCTATGTACTACATGAAGTACGGTGGTAGTCAAGAGGTTAAAGAATGATATGAAACCTTTTGTTGGTCACTTTATTTAATATCCATCCACGTAACAGTTATAGTAGGAACGACGTTTTGCTATTATAATTTATCAAATAGGTAATATACATAATATATAATTTTTAAAATACATTAAAACTTTTACAACTATTTTTACCTACAATTAAATATTAAACACTAAACAATAACTATTTCAACAAGTATTTACATAAAACTATTTACGTAAACAGCGTTAAAAAACTTTAACATTGAATCGCCTACAACGCGCTAGCCCCGACTGCGTATAACACCCAGGGCGCCTCGCGATTTTAGGTAATTATTTCACGCAGGTAGCGAGAGTGACAGAGGCCTGCTAATAGTTAAAAATACCTAAATAATAATATCGACGCTTGAAAGGCAATATTTACCAAACGACATGTTGGACGATATTGAGTTATATACATCATTGAAATCAGCAAAAAAATCTGCGTCGATTGATCATACTCTCGTACCGCTAAGAAGAGTTTTGTTGTCGCTTGGTAACTTAAAAAAAAACACATTTTCACCGTTTTCGGCGAATAAGCGACTAAAATTTTACCGAATTATGAATAACTTTCACTTGGTAGGTATTCGATTTTAACTTTTTAGACTTAGTAATTTTTGCCTTGACTCGAATTAATGCGTTTAAACTTAAAGTATTTTTTCCTTGCGATATCTAGGTATGACTCATAATACCATTGAGTTATACAACACTAGAGGAGCAAACCACATTACCGCGAATCGAAAAAAGTGTAACCACTATCCAAACGCGACGACGTAGCTTTGAAACTAATAACAATTTTAAGTAAACATATATCTATCTCACTTACACAAGTTACGAAAACAATATCGTCGCTAAGATTAGATAAAGATAGACACACAAACATGCAATGGCGGGTTGGTGTGGCTTACTATATGAAATTTTACCTAAAATACGCAATAAAAATGAGTTTTTTTTAAGCTGCAGTTAAATGTTTTTATATTAAAAAAAGTATATTTCATTTTAAAATCTTTATTACGTCCCCTTAGAAAAAAAGGATACAAAGCTTATCAGATGAATATAAGTAAACATAATGATGAAATAAAACGTATTTTTATGGTACTAATAAATCAAACAATATAAAATAGGTAATAAAATATATTTAATAGATAATTCATGAATAAACTAAAATAAGAATAATTAATTATTTTGTATGAAAGTTAAAACGTAGTTTTTATTATAATTTCCAAAATATTTAAAATCAGAGGTAACAAATTAACTTAATCCATTAATTATAGTGTCTCCCATTAATGTAGTATAATCACAAATGCGGAAAAGTGGCAACATTGAACCTAAATGGCACTATTCGATAATTTTATTTAATTATTTGAGGTTTTTTACGTTTATATGAAAACAAGAACTAAAAATTATGTGTTGAAAGTGATTCCGGTTGTTTTATTACGTTTTTGTGACCTTGAATAGCATTCTTTCACTACGCATTTACCTATTTTTGTCGCGGCTCAACTCTGTCGGCGTCACATTGAACAATGAACTCACGTTAGCTAGACATATGGCTGTGGCCATATGTGCAGTGGCAACGCTTTGGCGCGGTTATTACTGATCTAGTGTTATATAAATCAATGCATAATACAAAATTTCTTTTTTCTTTTTTTGAAATTTTACCTGATTATTATTTTTATTTTTTCTTCATTTAAGACTTTCTAACACTCCTTAATTATGTACTCATTTTCATTTAGTGTTTTCTTCCTAAATGCAATGTACTTTAAAACGTTATATAGTAGTATTTTTCCTGCTTAAAAATGATAAATTTTGTCATTTGGTAATATTTTACCTGCCGTTTTTTTACTGTTTTTGTTACTTAGATAACTATTACTGATATGAAATTTGTATAAACGTTGTAAAACAGAATTTGAATGGCTGTTGGTAATAAAAATATCGATTGGTCTTCACAGAACTGTCGCGTAGGCAACCCGTGTGCTCGCGCGCACCGCACAAAGTACGTCGCATAGCTTGAGATAAGTACTCGGTGTTTTCATTATAAAGATCGTATGAGTGTTCTTTGCAACTTATTTAACACGTATTTTATAATTGCTTTTATATTTATTAGTTACATAATGAATCGTAATAAGCGAATAGATAACATAATTAAGCAAGCTATGTCAAACGCGGGTGTGGATAGCAGGGATTTAACCTTGGTAAAGTACCTGCTTAGTTATATACTAAATCATTATTCTCTTAATTGTAACTATTAGAAGCAACTAAATTTAATTTAATTTTTAGGGGCCAAGATATCAAGAAAATACTCGTACGTACAAAGATAAAAATCTGCAACGATTGGAACAAGTTCGCAAAAAACTTAATGTTTATTGAGCCGGTATGTTTTTAATTTATATTAAATTTACTTGTGACTGGATTCGATTCGATGATTTTGACATCGCTTCGTACACATTTTTGTCTAGTATTTTATTTATTTATTTATTCTTTATTGTACACACAATAAGTTGGTAACAATTATTAAATATTTAAATAAATGTACAAAGGCGAGCTTAACCCTAATAAGAGTTCTCTTCCAGCAAACCTATTGGGAAAGAGAAATAGTTTTATATATAAAGCAAGTACCTAGGTAGCAGCGTGCATACTTAATAATTAACATAACGCTACTTAATAGAAATTGGCTATAAGTTACAGTTAACAATTAACATATAAGTGTATAACATATAAGTATAATTTATTTTCTTATTTCTTTTATTCTTATTTCTATTAATTTACATACATAAATACCAATAAAGATAATAAATATAAACATATATACACATATACACACACACATATATACATATATATACATATATATATATATATACATACATATACATACACATATACATATATATACAATTATACATATAAATACATAAAATATGTAAATATTTATAATTCTAAGTTGACAGATAATACTCTGCTCCGTTTTTTTCTAAAATTTCTTTACTCTGCTCCGAAATATATTAAGAGAAGAGCTAGCATGTATGTCATGTGGAAGTAAGTTCCATAGCTTGACCGCCCTTACAGTAAAGGATCCACCACAACGGCTTGTGAAATGAAAAGGAGTTTTGAGAAGTAGTTGTTTAGTGGTCCGGCACTGAGTTTCACGAGGTACATGATACTCAAAACGCTCGCGGAGATATGGAGGTGTAAGGGGATTAAAGAGTAGAAAGTATAGAAATGATAACACATGTAAGTCTCGACGTCTACGGATAGGAAGCCATTTTAATTGAGCCCTGTACTCTGAAACATGATCAAACTTACGAAGACCGAAAATAAAACGTATACACAAATTTTGAACACGTTCCAGTTTGTTCAACAGCTCCTCTGAAGCATCCAAAAAACTAACATCAGCGTAGTCAATGAGAGGAAGAAGAAGTGCTTGAGCTAAGGTTATCTTAGTTTTTAACGGTAAAAACATCTGGAGACGCTTGAGAGATTGAAAAGAGTAGTTCACTTTTCTGCTATCATATTAATGTGAGCGACCCAAGACAAATTATTATCAAAAATAACACCTAAGTTCTTAGCGGTCTCTGTATATGGAATTTGAGTATTATCATACGTTACTGCAGGGATCTTCGAACGATCTAATAAATTAAGCATATATGAGCTGCCGATAATCATTACTTGGGATTTAGCAGGGTTAACAAGAAGACCAAACGATTTTGCCCAACTGCTTATGCTACTTAAGTCAGCATTCAGCTTATTAATAGCCTCATCTATATCTTGGACTTTGAAATGACGGTATAATTTAAAGTCATCAGCATAGAAATGATAATGAGAGGAGAGAACAGTAGTGAGAGCATTAATAAAAATAGAGAAGAGAAGTGGAGAAAGAACACCACCCTGAGGAACACCCGCCGTAAGATCACACCACTCGGAGAAAACCTCCTCATGGCGGACACACTGCGAGCGACCCCTAAGGTAAGAATTAAACCAAGAGATTACTGATGGTGAAATGTTTAAGGACGCAAGAATACCAAGAAGTATGTCATAATCAACGGAATTAAATGCACTGCTGAAATCCAATAATGTTAGAACAGTGAGAAGTCTTTTGTCCATGGCCCAGCGAATATCATCAGACACTTTAATCAGAGCGCTGACTGTGCTATGGCCTGGACGAAAACCAGACTGAAAAGGACTCAGCAGGCTGTGAACAGTTAGGAATTGAGATAGTTGCCTCTGAACTATATTTTCTAGTACTTTAGATAACATATTGCCTATTTTATGTATCTATTATTTTATAATATTTTGTTTAATTTTAAATATAATAAGTTCGATACTAAATGAAACTCTTTCCCGGGCGACTCTTGTGAGCACATTTTTTATGTTTTTGTTTTCGAGTTTACAATAACTCATCATGTTCGTTTACTTTTATACTGCAACTAGTAGATATTTTTTTCTGTCAAAAAGATAATGGTAATATTGTTTAGCGAAATAAATATCTTAAACCATATTCCTCACAATAATCCTTCCGAAAAGTAGGTACCGTGAGTAGACCATAAATCATAAATCAACCTAATGAAAAAGCATTAAGGTCCGAAATAGTATATCGATTTTCTACCTTTCTGAATTACAATCGTTTCGAATAGTATTGTGAGTAGACTAAAAATCAATGTAATGGTAAAACATTAAGATCTAAAATAGCGTGTCGACTTAGTACTAAATTGCTCTTTATTTCTCGGCGGCGACGTTCTTTTTTGATACTAACATTTTCGCGTCTTACAGTAATCAAAGGCTTTCTCACACATACAATCTACAATGATAATA